CCTCAAACGGAAGGTGGAGGAGTGGAAGAGGACTCGAGGCAACCTGTGAAGCTTTGGTGAACTCCATGCCAATAAGGGTTAAGGCAGTGCTGGAAAATAATGGTGGCCACACAAAATATTGACACTTTGGGCCCAATTTGGACATTTCCACTTAAGGGTGTACTCACTTTTGTCGCCAATGGTTTGTACACTGTGATACAGGCTGTACACTTACTACTTTAAGTTGTATCAGAGTGTCATTTCTTCAGTGTTGTCACATGAAAAGATATAAAATATTTACAAAAATGTGAGAGGTGTACACACTTTTGTGAGATACTATATATAATTATTTTATTATTTATATAGCACCATCACATTCCGTAGCGTTGTACATTGGGTGGACTAATAGACATGTAATTTTAACCAGACAATTGGACGTACAGGAACAGAGAGGTGGAGGGCCCTGCTCAATGAGCTTACATTCTAGAGGGAGTGGGGTATAGTGACACAAAGGGTAAAAGTAGTTAGGTTGTTAGAAAAGTATTCATTGAGGGCTTAGTAGGGAATTATTGACAGTTGCAGGAGAGGAGTCATGGGGATTGGGGATAAAAACCCTGCTTACAGTTTAACTGAAATGCTTTCTTGAAGAAGTGAGTTTTCAATGATTTTTTGAATGAGTGGAGACTGGGTGAAAGTCTTACAGAGAAGCGAAGGGCGCTCCACAGAAGAGGTAATATAGAGCGAGAGGTAATATAGAGCAAGAGAGAAAGAGAGCGAGAGAGAAAGAGCGAGAGAGAGCAAAAAAAAAAAAAAAATGCAGAGTGCTTGAAGTACATAGAGTCTGTTCCGAATTCTATAATAAAAAATACAGAGACATGGTGCTCTCTGATAGAGATTTTATTGAAAAAGATAAAATGCACTCACAAAAGGGTTCAAAGTGTTGGCATATGGTATTAGGCAGCTTACAATCCAGAAAATCCTAGTAGCCTCCTCGGCCAGGGGAATCTGCCAGTACCCTTTGCAGAGGTCAATGGTAGTCAGCGATCGTCCCCTGGCTCATCCACTCTGGGCATCCGGTAGGCATTGGTCACCGCCTTGTCATTTAACCGCCGATAGTCCACACAGAACCGGGTGGGCCTAGCTTTCTTTGGTACCAGGACTACTGGGGATGCCCATGGACTATCGGAGGGTTCAATGACCCCTAACATCTCCTGTATCTCCTTCCTCATTCTGGCTCTGACGGCTTCAGGGATCCAGTAGGGGGCTGTCTGAGCGGGGCTTGTCTGGGGGTCTCTACCCGATGGGTGGCTAGTGTGGTGAAAGCTGTTTCTTGGGAGAATGTTGGGCTCTTACTGACGATTAGTTGGCTTACTTGCTCCCTCTCTGTGGGCGTTAGCCTGTCTCCTAGTTTTAGCTGACTGAAGGGATCGGTCTGTGGCTTCCTTTTCAATAGATCGGTTAGGCTGTCTGGATCGTCTGTGGCTTGGGTGCATACCGCCGCTATGTCTTCCGACCTTTCTTGATACTCCTTGAGCATATTGACATGTAGTGATGTCGCGAACATAAAATTTTCGGTTCGCGAATGGCGAACGCAAACTTCCGCAAATGTTTGCAAACCGGGCGAAACGCCATAGACTTCAATAGGCAGGAGAATTTTAAAACACACAGGGACTCTTTCTGGCCACAATAGTGATGGAAGAGTTGTTTCAAGGGGACTAACACCTGGACTGTGGCATACCGGAGGGGGATCCATGGCAAAACTCCCATGGAAAATTACACAGTTGATGCAGAGTCTGGTTTTAATCCATAAAGGGCATAAATCACCTAACATTCCTAAATTGTTTGGAATAACAAGCTTTAAAACATCAGGTATGATGTTGTATCGATCAGGTAGTGTAAGGGTTACGCCCGCTTCACAGTGACAGACCAAACTCCCTGTTTAACGCACCACAAACAACCGCAAACAGTCCATTTGCACAACCGCAAACTCCCCATTTCCACAAGGTTGGATACCAAGCTAGCCATGTCCCGTTCCTTGTCCTCACTGGTGTCATTGAAGGTCTCTTCCTCCACCCAGCCACGTACAACACCAAGGGTCCCCAAAAGGTGACAACAAGCCCCCTGGGACGCCTGTTGTGTTTGGTCTTCCACCTCATCAAAGCCACCTTCCTCCTCTGACTCCTCTTCTTCAGACTCCTCTCTCTGCATTGCCTCTCTCTGCATTATTATAAGGTGTGTTAACAACAGTGCCCTGGCAGGCCCTGAAACGCACACGTGTGAAGGAAACTGACTACTATTATATTACAGTCAAAAGTTGTTGTTTTTTAAATGCAAGCTATTGTGACACCAGTGAGTGAGTGGTGGCACTGGGCAAGTATATGCTGTGAGCCTGACACACAGGCTGGCAGGCAACTGCAATTACATTACATAAAAAAAAAAAAAATAAAAAAAAAAAGCGCAGACTGATGTTCTAGCCCTAAATAGGGCTTTTTGGGGTGCTGTCCTTACAGCAGAGATCAGATGAGTCCTTCAGGACTGTAGTGGACACTGAATACACTAGCCTAGCTCTCAATTTCCCTATCAAATCAGCAGCAGCTACACTGTCCCTCCTCGCACTAAGAATGCAGCTTCACAATGAATGTAAAATGGATGCTGTCCAGGAGGTGGGAGGGTCTGGGAGGGAGGGTCTGCTGCTGATTGGCTGGAATGTGTCTGCTGACTGTGAGGTATAGGATCAAAGTTTACTCAATGATGACGAATAGGGGGCGGACCGAACAGCGCATATGTTCACCATCCGTGGCGAACAAGCAATGTTCACCGGGAACTAGTCGCCAGCGAACTGTTCGGGACATCACTATTGACATGGAAGGCTTTACAAACCCCTCTCATCTTTGTCACTGGCAATTACATATGTGGTATCTCAGAGTTGGTCTATCACCTTGTAAGGGCCCTGCCAGGCTGCCTGCAGTTTGTCTTGTTTGGTGGGTTTTAATACTAAGACTTTTTGCCCCACCTGGAACGTTCATTGGAACGATCGAACCATACCCTCTGTCACCCCTGGGTCCCGAAGCTCCACTAAATATGATACTATATGGGTTCCCTCCTGTTCCGTGTCTCCCTCCCAGTGCTTCCTAATGAGATCCAGGGGGCCTCGCACCCTTTGCCCATATAGCAGCTCGAAGAGAGAAAACCCAGTGGACTCCCGCGGCACCTCTCGACACGCAAACATGAAGTGAGGCAGAAATCGCTCCCAGTCATGGTATTTGTCTGTAAACATTTTCAACATCTGTTTAAGGGTACCATTGAAACGTTCACACAAGCAGTTAGTCTGGGGGTGGTATGGTGAACTAAGTAGGGAGATAATCTTACAGACCTTCCACAACTGGTGGGTAAGTTCGGTGGTGAACTGGGTCCTTGGTCTGATAGAATTTCTTTAGGGAACCCCACTCTGGTGAATATCATGGCTAATGCACTGGCAAAGGTGTCCACCTGGATATTGGGCAGAGCGATGGCTTCAGGGTAGCGGGTGGCATAGTCCACCACGGTAAGTATAAATTGTTTACTGGATGGACTAGGTCTTTTGAGGGACCCCACCAGTTCGACTGCTATCTGGCTGAACGGCTCTTCTAGGATTGGCATGGATAGCAGTTTCACTTTGTGGTGATCTCCCCTCTTCCCTACCCTGTGACAAACATCGCAGGTACGGCAATAGTGTCGCACATCCGTGGAGACCCCCGGCCAAAAGAAGTGCTGGGTTACTTGATGGGATGTGCAAGTCATTCAAGTGTCCTGCTAATGGGAGGTCATGCCCAATTCGGAGGAGATCCAGTTGGTATTTCTTTGGGACTACCAACTGGCGCTTCTGCATGTAGGTGACTCCAGAGCTATGGGTTTCTGACACCGGATATAACTCATCCTGTTCCCATATATACCGTTCCCCTTCCACCAGTTGAGATGAAATGGGCAGTGGGAAGCCAATATATGGCCCCTCCAGCTACTCGGACAGCAACAGTTTTTCCGGTGCATTCATTGTTGTTGACCGAGTGTTGCTGTAGAAGGGTTAACGTGGCCCAGTGTCTTGTAGGCCCTGGGCCGGTTGCCCATTGACTAGGACCTCTTGGCGGTGGTGTTGCCTTTTGTCTTGAGTGGCTGTTGGATGGGGTCAGCCTCATACAAGACCCCTAGATATTCCTCGGACTCTGTTTCAGCTTTCAAACAGTGGGCAGCTGGGGTACGCTTGTGATCGCCCCCAGTTGGAGCTGGGTGGTTCAAGGAGACAATTGTTGCGGAGGTGTCCCAGTTGTTGGCAGCCATGGCACCTGATCCTGGATTGGTTCTGCTGGAACCTAGGGGGTCCAGAATATCAGGCAGGGGCTGGAGGAACCGAGGCATGGAACTCTTGTCTATGAGGGGGTCTTACAGGGGCCGGCTCGGGGCGAGGATGCACAGCGGTCGGTTCTTGGCAACTGGAAATCAGCCAAGTGAGCCGCGTCCTGCAAGGTGAGTGGCCATCTATCCTGTACCCACTCTTTCAGGCCCAGTTGTAAAGATCCTAGGAAATGTTCCAGTAGAAAAAGCTGCAGAACCTCTTCCCATGTTACGGCTTGACAACCCTCCATCCAATGAAATGCAGTTTTGTGCAAATTGCAGGCCCACTCGGAATAAGAATCCCCTTCTTTCCTCTTTGACTCCCTAAACCGTCGCTGGTATGCTTCAGGGGTTAGGGCATACCGGAACAGCAATGCCTCCTTCACAATGGTATAATTGGTGATGTCAGCAGTAGGGATGGCATGAAAAGCCTCATTGGCTTTACCTGACAATTTGCCGGATAAAATGGTAACCCATTCCTCTGGGGGTGCCTGATGTAGCGCACATTGCCGTTCAAAATCTGCCAAACATCTGTCAATTTCCCCATCTGTTTCTTGAAATGATTTAAAGGCTACAAATGGCACCTTTTTCCATTTGCTGTGGTTCGCAATTGGTAACACCGCTGGACTTTTGGGTCTCTGTGCGGTTAGTACCTGGAGTTGATAGGCCCTTTTCTCTCTAGCCTCTTCCATTGCTGCTTTAAAGAGTTGGGTGACCAGTTCCGCAGAAGTATTTGGTCCATAGAGTGCCAGCCTCTGTTGGACTATTCGCTGGAGCTCGTCCTCCTCTCCGTTCAGTAGATTTGGTTTAGCCATAGTGATGGTTCAGTCCAATTTGACCAGCTCTGCTATCTATTCCCGTCATGGTCGGTTACTAGCTGGGCGTCCACAGCTTCCCAGCAAGTGTTTCAAAGTCAGCCGCTTCAGCCTCTCATACTGAATCTCCATTAGTGCAGTACCTCCTCTTTGAAGACATAACCATCCCGTCGCTGACACCGAATGTAGCAGTTACCCCGATGAGTAGAGGGGGTCCTTCTCCCGAGTGTGAGGGTTATTCACAGCATTCCAGCAGGCATTCAAGTAGATAAGCTCTTACAAGAGCTAGTGTGATAGCTGTATAGCAGTTTCCCCCAATAAGAGACAAGACTCTAGACTGAGGGTAAAGTAAGAACTGAAGGTTTAAATGGCACAGCTGCTCTTTTATACAGTTTTTCCCCACAAGGTTACCGCCCAAGTGGACCTTGTGGGGCACAGGACATGAAATTCACAATCCAATAAAAACAGAGTTTTACACTTAAACACTCCTAGTTACTGTTCACAAGCCCTCCCCTCTGTTTGGGAGATAACAGAGTATAAATTACATCCCCTGATAGCCCTGATCTGGGTGAACAACATATCCAAAAATCACCCAGATCGGGGCAGGGGTTCAGGAAATTCCTGGAAGTCTCTTTTGACAGACTTCATGCACATTTTCATGCCCAAAACAGTTCCAGAGAATTAGGCTGTACGGCCGGTCTATTTTCAATGTCTACATTCCCTTGGAATTCACGAACAGGTGCTGTTCGTGCACAAAGTCCATGTTGAAGTGCCGTTCGAATTGTGAAATGGTGTTCGACTCCAGTCAAAAAGAGTCAAAGTCCAGAGAAAGTAACATTTCAGCGGTGTTCGTGCCGTCGCATGTCCGATTTGAGTTCCATGAACTCAACAACAAAACACTGCTGACCTCGTTCAACTGAATAAAATGGCTGCCGTCACGTGTTCGAATGGCGACCACTTCAACACTTCGGCTGTATCTGAAGTGCCACTTTGAAGGTGTAGATCTGTTCCAACAGTATTTAAAGAGGCAGAAACAGTGCCTTAGAGGCAAATGAGTCACAGGGGCCATAATCACAAGGCAAAAGTCTGGCCATTAGTACAATAAATGTGAATCTGTTACAGACGAATGGTTTAGATGAACAAGAGTTTAAAATTCAGGGACAGGGGGTCTGTCACACCTCCACTGAATTTATTATTTGGGAGTGTCCTTTTAACAGTGATAGAGAGTAAAAATGCTGATAGTTAGCCGTTTGAAGCTGCAAGTCAGTGTCCATTTATATAAAAACAACTGATTTAGTGTTGGTGAACAGGTGTTTAGGAGGATGTATCATACAAGGCTGTGCAATCTCAATTGTTCTTAAAATGTTGAAATCTTACAATGAGAGGATGACAGTGGTGTGTAGTGGTTATGGTGCTTCAAGTTCTTCTATAAAGGGTTACTCAAACCATCATGACCACTTCTGCTTTTTGAAGTGATCATGGCGGTAGGAGTCTGGATGTGCAGTGTTTTAGCTCGTGCCCACTCCATTCCCTCCCTACACCTTCACACCTATTCTGTCCATGGAGTTTTATTATAACTCCCTCCATACTCCCTTTCCCTCTGTTCTTGAGATGGCTAAATGGCCCATTTAAAGGCTTCTCTATGAGAAGCTTGTGATTGGACCTCTCCACAGCTGCTGTGGTGACAGGTAGGAGCATTTAAAAATAAGTTAAACTATATCATTTATATATATATATATATTTTTTTTTTTAAATAGTCATAATGGTTGGAGTAACCATTTAAGTACAGGAACACAAAATTCAGTTTTGAGCTCATTTGAGTAGGACGTTTTTCTTTTGTTTTTGATAAAATATCAACTACTTGTCAGTTATGCCCATTCCAGGTTTGTAAAAGTCTGCAGAATAGGTTGACACTATTTAAATATAACAATGTTAAACATACAGCATATATCAGCCTAGTAAATAATGCTAAAGATTTTAATGAAATATGATTTTGCATGAACTTTGAAAACAATATGCTTACATTATAACAGAAGGATCACTTCCTTGTTGACTCAAGTGAAAAGACAGTGCAATCAAAAGACCACAGAAAGCTGAAAAGATGGCAGGTATATATTGACTGTCCCAAGGTTCCTATGGACAAAACACAAAACAAAATAAACTAAGTATAATATCAATTAATTGTTGGATACTTTAGATGTTAACTTTACTTATACATATCTTTAAGGAACACTCCAGGCAACATAACTACTGCAGTGCACTGTACTGGTTATGATGCCAGGTGTGCCCTGATCCCTCTCCATTGTAAGGAGTCATTTCTTTTTAGAACAGTTTGACTTGCAATGGGGTCCATGGGGTTAAGCTCCACACCTCCTCTACAGCTCGGTGAGAGCTGGTAGACCCTGCTCAGAAGTGTTTGTAAGATCCTCTGAGCTAAACCCTGCATTGAGTGTCCACTGTCAATGACCTAAGTCAGTCAAAGAACCATATAGTCAAATAGTTCTACAGTCAGATAGTTCTAAAATGGTTTGGCTCCTCACACAATTGTGTAGAGCAAGCACCCAGGCACATCTGGAGAAGAAAACAGAAGAAGAATACAGACTGCGCCAAATACTCAAATATGGATACAAAATAAAGAAATACATGTATAAAGGTTCAAACCTAATAATTTGAATAAGAAGTTCAATACATTTCCCAAAGAGAGATTCTTTAAGGTAGCAATAAAACCTGCTGGAGACAATGTCTGTTGGAGGTCAGTCTGTTATTTTCAAGCAAATGATCAGATCTTTATGTAAGACGAGAGGGCAATCAGTTCTTGTTCTGTTATGGATGTCTCATATGGAATGTAAACACAGAGAAAAAAAAAAAAAAAAGTGTTACCCAGCATATGCAACATTCTAATTTCTATAAGGTTAAAAACGCACTTCCAAGAGAGCCTTCAGTCAGCTCTTAGAGCAGTACAATACCCACTCACAAATGTCTTTAGGTGTCCATTTTCAGTGCTCACAGTGCAATCGGCATATGTAATGAATAAAACAAATATAGTAGTTTCTTCTTGGAATGATTACCATTGTAAATTCAGAATGAAATTTACTTACATCTTTGAGAGCATCATATGCTCTATGACAGGCTTCCCCAAACTCTGGCCCTCCAGATGTTGCTGAACTGCAACTACCATGATTCTATGAATGAAATAGATAGGCTGATAATAATGGGAGTTGTAGTTCAGCAACATCTGAGAGTTTGGGGAAGCCATCAGCTTGGGTGGTTTGATCTCCACCAAGGATATATGAAGACAGATGAGAAAAAAGGCACATATTAACGCCAAAACGCGGGTCTAGTAGGTGCTATGGATTTTAACTGAGGAAACCAATATAGTTTACTCTCTAATGCCGGGTAATAATATAATCACCTAGGAGACTCTCAGATACATAAGGGGACTTCCATGAAGCAGTAAGGAAGGTTGAGATTGGACAAATGTTAGTTCAGCTCCAAGTGAGTTCGTTTGCGGATTTCAATATGGCTTATTAGAGAAGAGGCTTAGTCTCTCTCTCCCAATTATACATTTCAACCATCTGGTCTATTGATATACTTTAAGCATGCAGAATTACTAAACCAGGGGAATTTGGGGTTTATTGTAGCGGAGCTGCAATCCTGGGACAGAATATCTCCGCTGGAATCCTCTGGAGCTGGAAGAAAATGCTTATAGCCCATTCCCCCAGTAACTGAATGACACACAGTTCCTGGGAGTTAACTAAGGATTATTGTGTCACACTCAGCTTTTTATGAGAGATAATTGAGTTAATGGAAGGCTAACTCAATTATTTCTCACTTACAGGAAACCACACAATTTTACACAAAAAACAAAAAACAAAAAATATAAAGAAGCCCCACAATTCTTATATCCCCAAAAAGCCTGGATCTGAGCACCCAAGCTGTCCAAAAGTGCTCAAAGCCATCTGGTAGCATGGAGTCGCCATTTGGGTAAAATTTCGACCGGCCATCCACGAGGTGATGACCCAAAATAGTTCCAGAGAATCAAGAGCAATGGCCAATCTTCATTCAGGGTTTCCGATATAAACACAGACAAACGCTTCCCCTGGCTCTTAGGGAGTGAATGCTCCCCCCATTCGGTAGTTCCCAGCTGCCGAACATCGTTCATCTAGCTGGTAGGGAAGTTGGATGGGCATCGGTGCAATCTTTGCCAGGGTTCGCAGGATCGTGTAGCCAAAATGAGTTCCACATGCTTGACAACCAAGTACCGCTGCCTGTGTTCCGGAAAGCACTTGAGTTAATCACTTAATTGCGGTTAACAGCCAGGGGTGGTCTGTGTTTTAAGCTAATAAAAACCATGTTCTGTTCGGTTTACAGGGGGATATGCATAAGTTCAGGAAACTTAAATATAGGTTTGGGCAACCCTAGGGAATTTTACAAGGTCTGCATCAGTTTTCTTATACTCTCATTTTTTTGTGATTATAAAGTCTCCCCCTATATGCAATCTATGCAACATTGTTATGGTATTCAACATAAAATATTTAAGAGTGGTGGGTGTCTGTATGAGTGCCAACAATTGTGGTTCTATTTCAGCCTGTTGGAATTTCAGTTACTGTGTGGTCTTATGTAAATAGCACAGTCACTTGAAACTTACTGTATGCCACAGGTACCCATCTATAAAACGCTGAGACAATCTGTATTGACCTATAATCTTGTTACAATGTTTTCTTTCTCTCCCTGTATCTATATATCAAAAGTAGCCCCTAATCTAATATTCTAAGAAGTCTATACCTGGAGATCTAGTTGTAGGTTCTAAATACCCAACATTTGAGACCATCGGTTCCCCTTTTAATCAGTCCAATTCACTGTTCTATGCACAATTTAATAATTGTTTGTGTTGTATTTTCGCTAAGTAAAGGATAAGTCTATTTTTTTGTGGTAACAGTCTAAGATCTAGTCTCAATTTTGTTTGGATTATTTCTAATTTTGCCTGTCTTAATATTTTG